CACCAGCGCTGCCCTTTGGATGGTGTCCCTGGACCTTCCACCACACGATTCCTTCTGATTTGGTCAGCCAGCCAGTTTCCACTGCCATTACGCATGACAAATTTATCCAGGAACACTAATTGGCTTTCTGGACCATAAAACCAGTTGTAATTTGAATCTGCAATGGCTACAGTTCTTTGGAACCCTGGGGAAGGAAGTTTGAAAGAATTGAGATCAGCTTAAAACTGTATATTCACATAAAGATCTAAACAATGATTTTCAAACCTAGCTGCAAATTAGAATCAATGGTGTATCTTGGATAAAATAAAACCATGATGTCCATACTCTATCCCACATCAATCAAAATCAAAATCGCCCTGAAGGTCTTCCATAAATCTTGTGTGCAAGCTTGTATTTGTTATGTGGCAATTTGTCATTGATAACAAATGTGTCACACTTATAAATGTATATAAACATTTTACCCTCTTTGTTCATTTTTTCAATATCCATATTATGTACAACTATATTTGCATCTTTGCATGAATATCCTCTTGTATACAGTAAGTTCCTGAACCTGGAACGAGTACTAGCTCTCTCTCAGCTCAACTTGCATTCCAGGCCAGGACAATAACACAAAGTACTCCCATTTGATTTCTAATAAAATTAGTGTATATAAGTAATATAATGCAGGACCAAAACTTAACTCCCAGAAAAGATTCTGTTGGAATCTGTTTATGTACTGCTGGAAGTTAAAGAAGTAAAAAATGCAAGGATCATCAAGCAAAGAATTGTTATTGGATTAAGGAAGGAAGAAAAAGAAGAAGAACAGATATGCTCCAGGTACTCTTGAAAAAGAAGACTGGGAGAAAACTCTGGGCCAGATAAGAATAACCATCACCAGAATCCAGACTATCAACTGTAGCAAAAAGGAGATTGCAGTGGAGAACAGATTGCTAAAACACAGAATTCTTTTAAAAATGCCACCATGATTGTATTCATATAATTCACAGCTAATAATTTCTCCTTCTAATCAACTAGTAAATGCTTTTCTAAGTAAATCTTAGCATAAAATGTGATAGTACAAAGATTACATCAAGTCTGTGAGCTTCTTGAAGGAGAGAATATATTTTATTTCTCTTTAAATCCCCTGCCTAGTCCAATGCCTGGCATATAGATGTTCAATAAAAGTTTATTGAATTAATAAACACAAACATGTGAATGCTCCCTTTACAGGCGTTCCTATTGTCTTTTCCAGTTTAGAAAGTAGCCACAAGCACAGCTCAGGGTAGACTCAAGCCCTTCGACTCAGCCTAAAATGGCTGGCTATTAGAACTCTGCTCAAATTATAAAAAGCACTGGGACCTCTTAGAGACTCCTTTCTTTAGAAGGACTTTGTTTACCAAG